TCTCCCTCTCTCTCTCACACACACACACACACACAACCAAAAGAGCCCAACCCTGTAACTAATGTATCGGCATTTGGTGCATATAGCATCTTGATTTTCTGCCACAGGCTAGCATGCGAGCAGGACATTTGTAGATTGCTCCTTGTTCAGGCTTGATTAATGGAATATGACTTCACTGGGCCATACTGAAAGCCCAGTATTTTTCTGATCTGAAATTTTCTGTTTGAAGATGTGCGAAATGTGAAATCTCTGTGCTTTTATTTTCTGTATAGCTCCATCACTATCTGAGAAGAGTCATATTTAACAATAGTGCGGGAGATGAGGTTTCCATTGATACCAATGGCGAAATAAAAACAGGATATGATATTATGAACTGGGTCACTTTCCCGAACCAGTCCTTTTTTAGAGTGAAAGTTGGGAGGATGGATCCTCATAAGGAAGTGTTTTCTATTAATGATGATGCCATCACGTGGCCTAGTTGGTTTAACCAGGTAGGATCTGTCTCTAATTATTCTGCAAAATCTTCTTCCAGTGGCAAATTCTGTGTTTGCTGTTGTTTTTATAATGGTATGGTATGTAAAGAAGGAGAGAAGGATAAACCTCCAATGAACACATAGCAATGCCCAACCAGAAAAGGCTGAGGAGCAATAAAATCAAGTCTCTGAAACTAACACATTAAAAAAAATTAAATTTCTTTTAAAAGTAAACAATATTTCTATAATCTGTGGAACATTACTACTGTAAACCATGAAAGACCAAATGTGTTTTGACGTGTTGTTTGTCAGTAGTCCCTTTACAAAATGTTATAGATAGAACCATTCCTTTATAACAAGATAAACACAATATATAGTATTAAAGTAACAAAAGTGCAAAAAATAGTCCATATGTTATTAAACATGTAAATTGAGTGCCTGGGTGAATTTGAATAGCTGCTGCCCCACCCTTTCCTGGGGGAGGCCTCTATTTAAGGCAGCACCTTGCCAGAGGCACGAGCTAAAGGACTCCTTGCCTGTGGCTCTTAACCTAGGGATTCTTAGACTAGGGGCTCTGTAAGAAGCGCAGGAAGAGCCAGAAAGCCAAGACCCTAGTCTCCTTGTATTCCCAGTAAGGTAAGTAGCCTTTGACAAGGAGAACCACATAAATACAAAAGGGTTTTTAAAAGGGGGATGATATTTAATTATTTTAAAAGCAATTATGAAGACAGAATGCCAGCAGGGGGTTGGGGGCTATCCAAGGTTTTGCATGGAGTATCACATGTATGACTTTCTGCCCACTGGACAGAAGTCTTGGGTGTGTGCTCTGTGCAAGGAGCTCCTGGTTCTCAGGGAACAAGTTTGCTCCCTTGAGGCCAAGGTGGCTGACCTGGAGAAGCAGAGACAGTCAGTTAGGTGCACAGAAAAAACTCTAGGGGACTTGATAGATATGTCCCACTCTGGATCTGGCAGCCCTGCTGCTTTCAGGGAGCATGTGGGTCAAGGGGAAACAGGGCACCATGCTGAGGATAAGGGGAATGTGCCCTCAGAAGGGACCTCTTCTTCAGCTGGTGAATGGGTATCCTTTCATACCAAGGAACCATCCCTGGGCAGGGTGGGAGGTGGGCTCTTGGTAGTTGGTGATTCGATCCTTAGGCAGGTAAACAGCTGGGTGGTGAAACTGCATACTGACCATATGGTGACTTGCCTGCCTGGTGCGAAGGTAGCTGACATTAGGCATTCTTTAGATAGGCTGGTAGATAGTGCTGGGGAGGACCCAATGGTCGTGGTGCATGTCGGCACCAACAGTGTGGGGAAATGCAGTCGTGAGGTCCTGAAGGAGAAATTTAGGCTGCTGGGCAGGAAACTCAAGGGCAGGACCTCCAAGGTAGCCTTCTCAGAAGTGCTACCTGTTCCACATGCGGGGCTGGAGAGACAGGCACAGATCAGGAATTTCAATGCGTGGATGAGTCGATGGTGTAGAGGGGAAGGGTCCAAGTTTGTTAGGCACTGGGATGCTTTTTGGAACAAGAGGGGTCTCCACTTGTCCTGAGAAGGAACCAGGCTGCTGGTGCTTAAAATCAAAAAGGTGGCAGAGCAGTTTTTAAACTGAATATTGGGGGAAAGCCGACAGGAGAAGCTTGGGATCTATTTAAAACTACGATCCTAGAAGCTCAAAAAATATATATTCCGCAGGTTAGGAAAGGCACAAACAGGTATAGGAAAAAGCCTGCATGGTTAACAAACAGAGTAATGGAGGCTGTAAAAAGTAAAAAGAATTCCTTTAAGCAGTGGAAAGCTAGTCACAGTGAGGCTGATAAAACGGAACACAGGCTATGGCAAATAAAATGCAAGTCTGAGGTCAGGCAGGCAAAAAGGGAATATGAGGAGCATATAGCAAAAAACGTAAAAACCAACAATAAAACTTTCTTCAAATACATTAGAAACAGGAAACCAGCCAGGGAGGCAGTGGGGCCCTTGGACGACCAAGGGGTAAAAGGAGTATTGAAGGATGATAGGGAAATGGCTGAGAAGCTAAATGCATTTTTTGCCTCCGTCTTCACTGTGGAAGATGAGAAGTGCTTGCCCACTCCAGAACCACTGATTTCAGGAGGGGTGTTGGAAGACCTGAGTCAGATTGAGGTGATGAGAGAGGAGGTCCTAAAACTGATAGACAACTTAAAAACTGAAAAATCACCAGGCCCAGATGGCATACATCCGAGAGTTCTGAAAGAACTCAAATGTGAACTTGTAGATCTCCTGACAAAGATATGTAATCTTTCCTTAAAATCTGCCTCCATTCCTGAGGATTGGAAGGTAGCTAATGTCACTCCCATCTTTAAAAAGGGTTCCAGAGGAGATCCGGGAAATTACAGGCCAGTCAGTCTGACGTCGATACCGGGTAAATTGGTGGAAACCATTATTAAGGAAAGAATTAGTAGGCACATAGATGAACAAAACCTATTGAGGCAGACTCAGCACGGTTTCTGTAAGGGAAGATCTTGTCTCACTAACCTGTTAGTGTTCTTTGAGGGGGTGAACAAACATGTGGACAAGGGGGATCCAATAGATATTATTTACCTTGACTTCCAGAAAGCTTTTGATAAAGTTCCTCATCAAAGGCTCCTAAGTAAGCTCAAAAATCATGGGATAGAAGGACAAGTTCTTTTATGGATCAAAAACTGGCTAGTTCATAGAAAACAGAGAGTGAGTGTAGGTGGGCAATTTTCTCAGTGGAGGGTGGTAAGCAGTGGGGTACCGCAGGGATCAGTACTTGGTCCACTGCTTTTTAACTTGTTCATTAATGATTTGGAGATGGGAGTAAGCAGTGAAGTGGCTAAATTTGCGGATGATACAAAGTTGTTCAGGGTGGTGAAAACCAGTGAGGATTGTGAGGCACTCCAAAGGGATCTGTCAATTTTGGGCGAGTGGGCGTCAACATGGCAAATGGGGTTCAATGTGGCCAAGTGCAAGGTGATGCACATTGGAGCCAAAAATCCTAACTATAAATACACGTTGATGGGGTCTGAACTGGCAGAGACTGATCAAGAGAGAGATCTTGGAGTTGTAGTAGATAACTCACTGAAAATGTCGAGACAGTGTGTGACTGCAATAAAGAAGGCCAATGCTATGCTGGGGATTATTAGGAAGGGTATTGAAAACAGATCAGCCAATATCATAATGCCCCTATATAAATCAATGGTGCGACCTCATTTGGAATACTGTGTACAGTTCAGGTCACCACACCTTTAAAAGGCAATTATGGCTTTTGAAAAAGTGCAGAAAAGGGCAATTAGAATGATAAAAGAGTTGGAACACTTTCCCTATGAAGAAAGGTTAAAGCGCTTGGGGCTCTTTAGCTTGGAGAATGGAATTCACTGCCACAGGAGGAGGTGGCGGCTACAAGTATGGACAGCTTCAAGAGGGAGTTAGATAAGCATATGGAGCAGAGGTCCATCAGTGGCTATTAGCCAAAAGGTATAGATAGGGACTCTGGGGCAAGTGATGCTCTGTCTTCTTGATGCTTGGGGGGGGGTCAATAGTGTGAGGGCTCCTAGTGTCCTAGCCCCACTGCTGGACCTCCTGATATCCTGATTTCCTAACGATATTGTTTTCTGAGAGTGATTAAATAATTTCTCCTCAATAGCTTTAAGTAGAGTAGATGAAAAGCTCACCATGGGCACTGTCAGTAGATAAGCATTCAACTACCTCCTCACTTCACCATATTCATCTTTAAGCAGAGGCCAAATGGGTCGGGGGCTGGTTAGGTGCAGGAGGCCTACCAAGCATAGGCAGGAAGAGATTCATGAGAGTACTAGAGGTATATGTACCAGCATGTCAGCATCGGCAGGATGGGCATCTGCAGGGGAACCAGAGCTCGTTTTGGCATGAAGCTTTGGTGACAGAAGCTGCGTAGGGATGCCAGTCTCCAGGTGGGGGTGAGGGATCCCCCGATTGTTGGGATTCCCCCAAATTCTCCACCTTAAAAGAGCAGGCGAATTCACAGCTTGCAGGGCAGGCACTACAGCATTCACTCTTTTCAAGCGGGGGTTGTGCGTGCCTCTCCTACATGTCATGAATCTGTGTTTTGAAAGGCATACTCTACAGTGCCTGCTCTTTTCAAATGGGAGGTGCTCGTGCCTTCAAACTCACAGCTTGCAGGGAAGGCATGTGGAGTGCCTGCTGTTCTCCTAACCATTTGAAGGGAAGGTTCCCTTTAAATGGTTGGACAAAGGTGTGTGGGGAGGTGCATGGCACTCCATCCCTGACATAATGATGTCAGTCTGCATGACATCATTGTGTTGGGGATTGCCCCAAGCCCCTCCTGGCATGCCCCCTAAATCCTCCCGCTGGGGAGAAGATTGGACCTGGCAACCCTACAGTGGCAGCAGCAAGGGAAAGGGAGGGGTGCCTTGTGTGCATTGATTTCACCACCAGGGAGATATGTGGGGTGGCCTGACATGGGACTCTAATGCTGTTTGGCAGCCCATTCCTCATATATAACCTGACACATTGTTGTATCATGATACATGTGAGGAATGGAATGATGAATATCATAGACAACCAAATAGCTTCTTTAGGAGTTAACTCCCTTCTTATGACTAGTAGGGAGCGAGAGAGCTGAGGCAGCAGGGCTTTGGGCCTCCCTACTTACAAATGAGAAGCTAAGAGCTTGAGGTTATAGGTATGGAAGGGATTTGACAGTTTGGAAATACAGGTTCTCATGAATGCACTCTGAAGTCCTCTAGGGGTTTTTATTTTTCTGTACAGAACCGTCAACTTGAAACTGCTGATGAAATCTAAACATCAGCAGACCTGATGTGCTAAATATGAAGCGCTAAAAAGGACAGGTATAAAACAAGCATCAAAGAAACAAATAGGTATATTTTATGTAAGTAAATTTGTGTGAAACAGTGAAGTCTATTTTAAAGAAGTTCAGACAGGAATAATGTTGATTCTCTGATCATAATTGAGCCATGATGGCAAAAGTGTTTAGGTTTATGCATCCTAGCAATGGCTTCCATATGGCTTCATATGAAAATGACACTGAACTGTAAAGAATTCATGATTATTATTCTCAAGGTTATTCTTCTCATCTTACATTTATGTATTAGACAAAGCCCCGTTCTATATGTAGTGAGAGCTGCCAGCCTGGTCAAAGCAAGAAAAGGAAGGAGGGTGAACCATTTTGCTGCTATGAGTGCAACCCATGTCCCAAAGGGAAGATTTCCACTCAGAAAGGTAGAGTGCAGTGGATTGGATCCAACCAACTTTTCCATTGGTGCAAACAGGAGAAGGGGGTTAACAAAAGGGCTCTATGGATATTGTGGGGTCTGCACGTACAAAAGGGACATGAGAAATGGGCTCTAGTAAGAAGGCAGATTGAGAAAGTTTGAGCAGATAAACTGGATGGATCCAAACCAGAGTTGTTGTTATTGTTGTGGTTTTATATTTGTGTGAATCAAAGAAACCAATTAAAATTATTGAGTTACTTCTACTTAAGGGTATCTGCTGATTTTTATAAAGCGGAAATTGATAAGTGATCTAGACACATTTGAGCATGAATTTTCATCTCTTTTGGGGACAAAAAATCGATGCCAATTTGGTGACCTTCCTTTGGCGTGCAACAGGAGGAAGGCAACCCTCTTTGTTTTCATGGTGACCTCAATATTTTGGCAACTGATTAGTTTGGTTTTCAGGAGCATCATGCTACAGTTAATCAATCCCTATATTCCAGCCAGAGGGAAGCAGAAAATATAAGAAATTTTGATTCATCTGGCCATGTAACAGAAAGACACAAACAGTTGAATTCAGATTTAACACTATGCCATGGAAAGAAATTTTGAAATATATAATTCACATATCTCTATGGCAAATAGCCAAGGCAACAACAGTTGCTAAGACAGCATGATCAATAAAATGATCAGGCTCAGCACATATCCTCACCATTGACCTGGATATCTTGTGGGAGGGAACAGAGATTTATTTATATATTTTTATATTTTATTGATATTTACATTTATATCCCACCCTCCCCGCCATTTGGAGGCAATCCAGCCAGAATGTAATGCCAGTAGGGCAAAAAGAAGCAGAAGCAGTAATATAATAACAACCTGAGCCCAATGGCATCAGGCTGCAGTAAAAAAAAATAACTTTCAATAAGTCAGGCATCACACCAAGGTGCAGTTGTTTGAGTGAGCTATGGCTCTGACATACAAATACATTCTTTTGTTATGAAGCTCCATGGATGGCCATGGTCCAATTCCTCTCCCTTTCTCAGACTATCAAACCAACACACCAATGAGGATAAAATGAAGGCAAGTACTGCCCTCAGCTTCTTGGAGAAAGGGCAGTGTACATATCTAATTAATACAGACTAAGCATGTTGCTTTGCTATATATTCTTTGAAAGGTGGGTAAGGGAAGTTTTCTCTATGTCAGGTTCTGAGAGTATCAGAAGCTTGAATTGACATAACTCATACCACCAAGCTGACAGTATCAAAAGAATGTAGACATTTATTGTACAGTTTTCAAGTGATTAATATTGGAATATTTACGAAAAGAGGAAATTGCTTGAACTCTCTCTGTCTCTCTGTGTTACAGATATGAATGACTGTGTCACTTGCAGAGAAGATCTCTACCCAAATACAGGACAATCCCAATGCATTCCTAAATACATAACTTACATGTCTTATGTAGAGCCATTGGGGTTCACATTAGCCGTTTTTGCCCTTTTCTTTTCTCTAATCACAATTTGGGTCCTAAGAATATTCATGAAGAATCACAACACTCCTATTGTTAAAGCCAACAATCGGAACAATCGGAACACACTCCTCATCTCTCTACTGTTCTGCTTCCTTTCTTCTTTGTTATTCATTGGCCGACCTAAGAAGATGACATGTCTTCTACGGCAAATGGCTTTTGGCATCATCTTCTCAGTCTCTGTTTCCTGTGTGCTGGCTAAAACCATCACTGTGCTTCTAGCATTCATGGCCACCAAGCCAGGAAGCTGGACAAGGAAATGGGTAGGGAACAAAATGGCCAATGCAGTTGTTCTATGCTGCTCCCTCACACAAGCAGGCATTTGTGCTGTATGGCTGGCCACCTCCCCTCCCTTTCCAGATATCGATATGCATTCAATGCCCAAAGAAGTTATATTGGAATGTAATGAGGGATCTGCAGCTATGTTTTACTTTGTTTTATGCTACATGGGCTTGCTGGCAATTGTCAGTTTCACTGTGGCTTTCCTAGCCAGGCAGTTGCCTGACAGTTTCAATGAAGCCAAGCTGATCACTTTCAGCATGTTGTTGTTCTGCAGTGTTTGGTTATCTTTTGTGCCAACCTATCTGAGTACTAAGGGGAAGTACATGGTTGCTGTGGAGATCTTCTCCATCTTAGTCTCCAGCGCAGGACTGCTGGGCTGCATCTTCCTCCCTAAATGTTATATTATTATTTTGAGGCCTGAGTTGAACAACAGGGAACAGTTAATGAACAAAAAGGTTAAATGATTGAAATGTATGTAAATGATTAAATTTATGCAGTCTTCTTGAACACAAAATGCAATGGACATGTGTGTTTGTTTTGTCTCTCAAATAGGTCTGTGGTGAGGAGGCACCTGGGCAAAGTATAGGCCAGGGGCATCCAGCAGTAGAGGAACCTGAGCTCCAACCACAGTCATATCTGTGGGGTGACCAGGAGAGTTTTCAGTCTCTTTTGATACTTGAGGATCAATCAGGGTGCTCAATGTTTGGACAGGTGTGTCCCAAAACCCACTCAGTGTGTCAGGGGTGCCTGGCAGCATTGTTTAGCAGGCAGGAACTTTGGCTTATAGTGAGTGTGGAGGTCAGTATAGTGAAAGGAGAAGACAGTAACCTCTGGACAGATCAATATATTGGCATGGCTATAATAGCTGTGGTGAAGACGGCTGGAGTTGGAAGGTGTGGAGTTGGAGGATATAGGCAGTAAGGAATGGCATAACTATCTCCCTGGACAGCCATGAAGCAGATCAGGTGTATCAGTGTGGAAATATGGAAGGGTACATTAAGATACCCTTGCAGGCACTAGAGTTCTTTGGTCCAGGAAGCCCAAGATTATAGTATCCTGACATCTTCCCAGTCTGCTGCTGGCACACATCTTGCAGACATTTTGAGATCAAGGGATTCCAACCCTTCCCCGACTACGACTGCTCCCATAAGTTCTAATGCAAATTGGGGCACAACATTAATGTTCCTTGTGATTTGTGATGCTGAGAGGTAAGCCAGTTTGAGATACTGATTAGCATGTTGGACCTTCATCCTTGGAGGCCTCTTGGAGCATTCCAATTCCCCTGTCATTATTTTCCAATCTGCCATATCCTTGCCTGCATACTTATGACCCAACATTATTATAATCTTTACCCTAGCCCTAGGAATGATTTCAAGCAGACTAAAGGTCACTTTCTTTAACAAGTTTTCCAGGAGTCCATTCCACCAGCATGGAGCCACCACTGAAAAGGCCCTGGCCCTAGTTGAGGCCAGCCTGGCATCTTTGGGACCCAGGAGGGCCAGACGGTTTTGGGACCCCGAACACAGTGCTCGCTGGGGAACATATGGGGAAAGGTGGTCCCGTAGGTATGTAGCCCCCTGACCATAAAAGGCTTTAAATTTAAAAACCAGCATCTTGAAGCAAATTCAGTACAACAAAACAGATACAGGCCAACAGGATACAAATATATAAGCTATAAAATGCATACACTCGTTAGAAAACTCACCCATATTGCATTTAATCTTCCTGCTTCCTAGTTTGGTCTGATAAAACAGCTCCAAAATTTTCAAAGAGCTCTGTGTTCTAAGATTAAATTTACTGGTTTAAAATATGCTGATGGCCTGTATTTGTTTTTTTAGATTTGTTTTATTGTAGATTAATTATGTTTGGTTGCGATACTTGTTCCTGACGAAGACCTGTGGAAACAGGATATTACCGGTGCCCCATTAACAGGATCACCTTGTCTCCATCAACATTGGATGTTATTGTTTCGCTGAGAAGGACTAACTCAGGAAATTTCTTGGGACTTGGAGGTGTTTTCAGTATTGAACTGACACCAGGGATATTTTGTATAATATTCTTCATTCAGATTGGAACACTTGATAAATATTTACAAGTTACTTTTATAAATTCTTCATTTTATTCACAGGTTTCTGGTCTTTTGTTAGTTTTCCCATACCATGAATCTTCATTTTTTGCTCCAGTCAGAAACCTGAAAAAATATAGAAATTGTTGCTCCAGAAGGGTGGTTCCAAATCAGAAGATCTTGAAGATTTTCTAGTGAGCATGCTAGCTAAGGGCTGTCTTGTTTTGAGCTGAAGCTTTTTCAAAGAACCAACATTCCAATCTGTTCTGTATCAAAATTCAGGAGGGAACATTCCACACATGCTTCTGCATGGAGACAGACTGATATAGAAAATGTGTGGAATGTTCCCTCTTTCCATTCTTTATTCAGCATGTACATTTCTATTTTCTTAAATATTGTTGGTACACAGTTTTTATTATTTTTCCCAGTCAGAAACCTGCCAACTGCATTTTGGACAACCTGAAGTCTCCAAAGTGTCTTCAACAGCAGCCCTGCATAGAGCAAATTCCAGTAGTCTATTCTGGAGGTGACTATGGCATGAATCTCTGTAGCCAGGTCTGGCTGAGACAGATAGAGGGCCAGCTGATGGGCCTGGGATAGATAGAAAAAAGCCTGCCTTGCAACTGTGGACACCTGCTCATCCAAGGTAAGAGAGGCATCCAGCCTGCTCACAGAATCCTTAAATGAGAGCTGGACCCCATGTAGAGATGGAAGCTGCAATCCCCCCACAAAGTCAGTCTTACCCAGCGACATGACTTAAGTCTTGGATTAAGTTTCAACTGCCTCTGCCTCAGCCATTCGACTGCATGTGTCTCCAGTGTCTCCACATCTCTTCTTTAAAGGATGTTGTGGATTCTTAGAATGTTAAATCTATCACAGAAATAGATAATAAAGCATGTCATTGACAAAACAGACATAAAGATCGGCATGTTAAGTCTCGTTCCCTCCCAACATGCATTATTCCCAGGAATTGTTACAACAGCCCTATAGTTTAAGGCTATACTATTGTTTCTGCATTGCCATTGGGATAAGGAAACTGAGGCTGAGGGGACAGTGGCTTCTCTACAGCTTCCCAGAGGGATTGTGTCTGAAGTGAAACTTGAAATGCCTTGCTCTGATACTGTTCTATTAATTTCCATTATTTTTAACATAATTTCTTTGCAATGTGCAAATCTCATCACAATGTTAAGTTACCATCAGAGTATTTACAACACTAGGATGGTATACTTTACATCTGGGGTGTCCAACATAAGGCCCAGGGCCTGCAAGCAACTAGGGCAAGGGAGGGAACAGAAAACTGCTGGGGGGAGTGGGGGGAGCCACTCTGATTGTGGCTTCAGCGTGCTGGAACAACCTCATCTGCAGCAGTCAAGCAGTGTGGGAGCATCTGCCCAGTGCTGCACTGCTGGCTCTCCAGTCCGCCCATGTGGGTTTCCTTTGCACACACCCCCAGCCCATGAGAAGCTTACCAGCTGCTGTCCTTTGCCCCCCCAGGCAGAATAATGAGACAGACAACCGTTTGGAAGTAAACACAGGCCACTTTATTAACTATTTAACATAACATTGCAGCAAGGGACCAGCTAAGCGAGCACGGAACAGGCAAGGCAGGTGTCACTCCCCTGACCAACCTCCTTGCCCTTTTCTCAGGCAGGTGACCCAGCTCCGGTCTTGAGCCATCAGTCTGGCTCATGACCAGCAGCCAAGCAAACTGGTTGCCACCTATGCGTGCCTACCCCTGAAGCCTTCCAACTTGCAGAGAGGGGCATACCCTAAGACGTTCCTATACCAAGGTCCCGTTCCCACCGGGGGGTTACCAGTAAAAGGAGTCGAGGCTGGTGTTGCTAAAATAAATGTCTTTTACTTAAGAAAATATATCACATACAAACAATACTGATTCACACACACATTCAATCAAGTTCCTTAGAAATACAGTAGTAAAATAAGCACATTTGCATTAGCAGGTAGGGTTGATGATGGGTGATACTTATCTGTCTTCACAGCGTTGGTTGTTCCAATGAAGAATGGATGGGGAGAAAATAAAAATCTAAGGGAGTTTAACACATGACCAGAACCAGTCAGCACGTTTGGGCAGTAGAGGCAAGGGTTGGGGATAGTAAGCTGTCGCAAGTCCAGCAAAATTAACCCATTGCCCTTGTTTGATAGGTGCACCCTGTCAGCCCTATACGGGTCCTGGAACTCCACCACCCTCCATGGCCTTCTTCATCTGGCGGGTGGCTTTATGCCTAGCGGGGGTCTCCAAATTGTGCCATACCTGGTGGGACAAAATAACCGACCCCACTAGCCACACTACCGGGCCACCTTGCTCTCATCATCGCGAGGCAAGCCTCCGCTTGTAACACCAGGGCCTTGCTCTTCATGGTGAGTCAGAATATCATGGCGAGTCAGAATATCCAACCAGAGTATCCGCATTGTGGACCACCATGCTCTTATCATCACAAGGTTAGCTTCTACATGTAACACCAGGGCCTTGCCCTTCATGGCGAGGCAGAGTAGCCAACCAGACTATCTGCACTCCAGGCCATCTTGCTCTTATCATCTCAAGGTCAGACTCCACTTGTAGCACCATGGCCTTGTCCTTCATGGTGAAGCAGAATAGCCAACCAGACTATCTGCACTCTGGGTATCTTGCTGTTATCATTAGGTCTGCCTCAGCTCGTAGCACAAGGGCCTTCACAGCCAGGGTGTCCTCCTGGCCCAGTGGGTGGCCCAAAAGACCATGCTGTAGCCATAGACATTCACTCTTCATCTCGCCCAGTGGCCCAACAGCACCTGAAAGCAAAACCTCGTTAATAACTTTAAGCTTTGTAATTTCATTCTTTGAACGCTAGGCAAAAGCCCGCCGCTAGCTCACTGATCCACAGCGCCACCTCCCAAACTGGAGTGCAGTGACCAGCAAAAGTCCTGATCTGAACAAGGTTTCACTGACACAACCACAACCACACGGCAAGGGAACCCATAGCCCAAAGCAGCTGCAGAGGAAGCGGCGCTGAACCAAGAAGAGTAAGTTCCAAACCTCATCCCGGGAAAGGCCAAACTTGCCCAAAGCCCAGGTGCTAACCACCGCAAAGGGGGGGCTGATCAATGGAGTTCCATCCGCATGCCTAAAGCGGTAACCATCTTAATAACGTGAAGTGTAGCAACACCCCAGGTTGCAAAAATTGACCCTTATCTTACTGCTAGATAAATGGGATGCCTCTGGTCCACTAGAGCTCCTTTTCCCAATACCTTCATAGAATGCTTCAGAAAGTTCACTACCTTTACACAGCAATGTTTGCATTTACACAGCCATTGCGATCTGCAAGACATTGCCCAACTTTCATAGGGCTAATGAAATAACTTATAGTCCTGGGTAGCAAAGGAAGGCCCCTCCCTTTAAAG